GGGGGTAAAATAATAATCTAGGAGTACTTTAACTCGTCAGGGGGGTAAAATAACTTAAATAGGAGTACTTTAACTCGTCATGGGGGTAAAATAATAATCTAGGAGTACTTTAACTTGTCAAGGGGGTAAAATAACCCGGAAAGAGGTAAAATAAATCGTATGGGGTAAAATTTTACTCCTTTCCAGGTTATTTTACTCCTAGACGTTTTATTTTACCCCTAAACATTTTATTTTGCTCAATTCTGAGTATTTTACTCCTTTTCTAATCACCAGTGTATTGTTTACCAGGGGCCTGTTCGTTTATGCGGAGCAACCGGTTTGACCGTTTATAAATTAACGATTTCGGGTATAAATCATGGCGGACCTGCAAATGTGTATGCAGGCCTTGCAAAGCTTTCTCAAGGCTCGCCTGAAAGCAGCATCATATTACTAGGTCCGACCTTATTTAATAAACGAACAACAGTGGTCCGATCGGTTTGACCGTTTAAACGAAAACGGCCCAGGTGTTACTATAATTTGCACTACGATATTGAATGCCCGATACGCAATACGGAAATGACGACACGGTGTACATGCACATTTCGATCAAGATAATTGAGTCCGAGTTGTACTTTTTCCGGAAGTACGTCACGAAAATGGACGCTGATGACGATGTGTGGAGCCACCTTAGTGCTCATCAGCTGCCTTACGAAATCACAATGCATTAAAACTCAAATTTCCTAGCTTGGAAACCTACTTGAAACCGCAGGTTTCCGCGATGATATTATTAAGATTTTATTCCGGGAAATTGATTTCTGTGATTTGAAAAACGTTTGTCATCATGTTGTCCACATAAACTTTAATTATAGATTAATGAATATAAAGGCTGGGTTTTTTCCACGACAGAATTAGTATTGCTTGTCTTCACCTTTGGGTGGGTTCCCAGTGATCGAAACACGCAAGTCTGTATCTGTGGAATCGTTTCTTAAATATCTGCGATAATATAAACAAAAATCAATACGGAATTCCGTAAATCGAAAATCGTTTCAAAAATAATTTCCCAAAAGAAAAAGTCTGCATGATGAAACACAGTATTTTGTATGTTTATAAATGACGTATAATGCTCTAAACATGCTATAATGATACAACATCTAAAATACACCATCTTTAAATTCACAAGTAAACATTTGTAAGTTATCTCCCTTATTTATACCGCCATTATAAAACCGACTTACATTGCAGTGCCCACGTATCTCCATTCGCTATCCCGGCTGTCACCATCCCGGTATGGTTAAAACAGCTATCCGATACATTGTAGATTCCAACAACAGCTCCAAGATTTCCTTGCTCTTGTCTGAATAATTCACCGATAGCTGTCCTAGTTTTTATATCTCTCGAATTTAGTGAATACAATTCTTCAGGTACATTTTCTCGTAAGAACTGTTTATTGCGCGCGTGAATGACTTTATTGGCTCGTAATGCTGCTGATGTCAGTAAATCAGGTTTAAACTCATGATCACAGTCCACGCATCCACATAAAACACAGAGTAATATTACTAAAAAACGAGGGACCGAAACACAGCCGGCCATTTTGAATTTGAAAACCCGAGCTTATGACAGTTGATGTTCGTCTCCTTTTCGGATGGTGTTAGGAAAGAAACGACGATGATTCATGTGTTTGTATATGAACACAGTGTAACATCACGTTTAAGGACACGCTGTTTAATCAGAAATATCTCTAAATATTGTTGTCTATGTATACAATGTGTGACATATACTTGAAGCGCGTGATATGAAGTATATCGTGATATCAGCTGTACCCAAGATTACGTAGAGGTGATAACGGCAGGTCGATTTAGTACGGTTGGTCTACAGCAGCCGATACTTGATTTATTTATCAATATTTGTTACGCTTTTCTTCACGCTCTTTATTTGTTCTTCTTATGTTTGTGCTGGTCATGGACGTAAGTCTCTTTTGTTTACATGTTTATTCCAAGAAGTACGCTTAATATATGTATATAACCGTATACGCGCGCAGCGTTTATACTTTAATTAACATTGAAGAAATCACGCTGAATTTCTCTGTACAAAAGTATAGAATATAAAACTTGAATCCAAATTAAAACCGGGAAAAACTCCCAACAAAACCCAGTGTATTGAACGTTCCTTAACTTGAGATATTCCTGCACAAAATTGTCTTCATAGCAAAGCATTACTGGAGATAAAAAATAGTTTTAAGCTCTGAAAATATCCCTTAATTCCACTAATGCTTTACGATGGAGAACCTCAAGTTAAGGAAAAGCTTTCAGCTTAGTAACGCTCGAGTCTGTTATGTTTAATTTTACCATTACAAGTTGTTCACTATACAAAAAGAAGTTAGTTGTTTTACTTCTGAACTGATGATGTACGAGGTCTCGTGGTCAGCGTCACGGTGGTCGTGGGGTTCAGCGTACATCGCCCGCCTTTCACTAAGACGGTTAGGGTTCAACCACACGATCCATCTTGGACAACATGAGTGATTAAAATAAGTTTAAAAACTTTCTTACAATTATTATTAAATAAATAAAGTATATATTGCAGGTTAATAAAGTAACTCACTGCAGCGCAACACGGCAACACTCCGTATTGGTTATTACTAGAGGGCTACTTACAGTAGAAAGTCGCGCAACGCATTGCTACTGTATTAATACATACCGTATAGCAGGGTATTTTCGCGTGGGTGATATTTTTGCGATATCGGTGGTCACTTACATAATCGCAAACATTGCATCCACAGACTAATGTGACAAGCGCAAATATAAGGCCCGATAATAAGCTTTATACATGTAACAGTAATGTCGTCAGAAAATAGCGAGTATGTGTTGTAACGAGTATGTGTTATAACGAGTATGTGTTGTAACGAGTATGTGTTGTAACGAGTATGTGTTATAACTAGTATGTGTTGTAACGTGTATGTGTTGTAACGAGTATGTGTTGTAACGAGTATGTGTTATAACGAGTTTGTGTTGTAACGAGTATGTGTTGTAACGAGCATGTGTTGTAACGAGTATGTGTTATAACTAGTATGTGTTGTAAAGTGTATGTGTTGTAACGAGTATGTGTTGTACCCAGTATGTGTTATAACGAGTATGTGTTATAAGGAGTATGTGTGTAACGAGTATGTGTTGTAACGAGGATGTGTTGTAACGAGTATGTGTTATAACTAGGATGTGTTGTAACGTGTATGTGTTGTAACGAGTATGTGTTGTCACGAGTATGTGTTATAACGAGTATGTGTCGTAACGAGTATGTGTTGTAACGAGTATGTGTTGAAACGAGTATATGTTGTAACGATTATGTGTTGTAACGAGTATGTGTGTAACGCGTATGTGTTGAAACGAGTATATGTTGTAACGATTATGTGTTGTAACGAGTATGTGTGTAACGCGTATGTGTTGAAACGAGTATATGTTGTAACGAGTATGTGTGTAACGAGTATATGTTGTAACGAGTATGTGTTGAAACGAGTATATGTTGTAACGAGTATTTGTTGTAACAAGTATGCGTTGTAACGAGTATGTGTGTAACGAGTATATGTTGTAACGAGTATGTTTTATAACGAGTATGTGTTGTAACGAGTATGTGTGTAACACGAGTATGTGTTGTAACGAGTATGTGTTGAAACGAGTATATGTTGTAACGAGTATGTGTGTAACGACGATGCGTTGTAACGAGTATGTGTTATAACGGGTATGTGTTGTAACGAGTATGTGTGTAACGCGTATGTGTTGAAACGAGTATATGTTGTAACGAGTATTTGTTGTAACAAGTATGCGTTGTAACGAGTATGTGTGTAACGAGTATGGGTTGTAACGAGTATGTGTTTAACGAGTATGTGTTGTAACAAGTATGTGGTATGTGTTGTAACGAGTATGTGTTATAACGAGAATGTGTTCTAACGAGTATGTGTTGTAATGAGTATGTGTTGTAACGAGTATATGTTGTAACGAGTATGTTTTATAACGAGTATGTGTTGTAACGAGTATGTGTTAACACGAGTATGTATTATAACGAGTATGTGTGTAACGAGTATGTTTGTAACGAGTATGTGTTGTAACGAGTATATGTTGTAACGAGTATGTGTTGAAACGAGTATATGTTGTAACGATTATGTGTTGTAACGAGTATGTGTGTAACGCGTATGTGTTGAAACGAGTATATGTTGTAACGATTATGTGTTGTAACGAGTATGTGTGTAACGCGTATGTGTTGAAACGAGTATATGTTGTAACGATTATGTGTTGTAACGAGTATGTGTGTAACGCGTATGTGTTGAAACGAGTATATGTTGTAACGAGTATGTGTGTAACGACGATGCGTTGTAACGAGTATGTGTTATAACGGGTATGTGTTGTAACGAGTATGTGTGTAACTAGTATGTGTGTAACGAGTATGTGTGTAACAAGTATGTGTTGAACCGAGAATATGTTGTAACGAGTATGTGTGTAACGAGTATGTGTGTAACAAGTATGTGTTGAACCGAGAATATGTTGTAACGAGTATGTGTGTAACGAGTATGCGTTGTAACGAGTATGGGTTATAACGAGTATGTGTTGTAACGAGTATGTGTTAGTATGTGTTGTAACGAGTATGTGTTATAACGAGTATGTGTCGTAACGAGTATGTGTTGTAACGAGTATGTGTGTAACGAGTATATGTTGTAACGAGTATGTTTTATAACGAGTATGTGTTGTAACGAGTATGTGTGTAACTAGTATGTGTGTAACGAGTATGTGTTGTAACGAGGATGTGTTGTAACGAGTATGTGTTATAACTAGGATGTGTTGTAACGTGTATGTGTTGTAACGAGTATGTGTTGTCACGAGTATGTGTTATAACGAGTATGTGTCGTAACGAGTATGTGTTGTAACGAGTATGTGTTAACACGAGTATGTATTATAACGAGTATGTGTGTAACGAGTATGTGTTGAAACGACTATATGTTGTAACGAGTATTTGTTGTAACAAGTATGTGTTGTAACGAGTATGTTTTGTAACGAGTATGTGTGTAACGAGTATGGGTTGTAACGAGTATGTGTTTAACGAGTATGTGTTGTAACAAGTATGTGGTATGTGTTGTAACGAGTATGTGTTATAACGAGTATGTGTGTAACGAGTATGTGTTGTAACAAGTATGTGTTATTACGAGTATGTGTTGTAACAAGTATGTGTTGTAACGAGTATGTGTTGTAACGAGAATGTGTTCTAACGAGTATGTGTTGTAATAAGTATGTGTTGTAACGAGTATATGTTGTAACGAGTATGTGTTGTAACGAGTATATGTTGTAACGAGTATGTGTTATAACGAGTATGTGTTGTAACGAGTATGAACGAGTATATGTTGTAACGAGTATGTGTTGTAACGAGTATGTGTTGTAACAAGTATGTGTTGTAACGAGTATATGTTGTAACGAGTATGTGTTGTAACGAGTATGAACGAGTATGTGTTGTAACGAGTCATATACACCCCGAGTAATACAAGACGTTTGGAAATAGCTTGTATCTTTGCTTAACAAAATACACTTACTTGTTGTTGCTCAATGTGCTATAATAAAGCCTATTTGATTTGACGAGTGTCTAGTCTCTTTGGTGAAACACTGCAAACATTTAGTTCCTTTACATGTCTAGATCGCGAAATTATTACCCATGTAAATTTAATGGGTCAAAATCGCAAATATTTAAGCCCGCGCAAACAGCCCGTTGTAAGGTATATATATATATATATATAAACTTAATATTTATTAGGAGCACTGTTCAAAAGATACTTTTCTTTCTATACGTGTGTTCTTAGTCGGTGGATAGCTATATCTAACGTGACAGTAGGGCTATCGGACTTAAATGACAGTTATCGGTTTCCATAATTTATATAACAGTTTAATCTCTTTGGTCATTAATGGGAACGAAATATGTCTGCATGCTTGTTACATTTCTATTACGAAATATACATGTATATTTCATTTGTTTAACATTTAAATGCTTAATATCTGATCGGTCACACGGCGTTAGAGTAAACAAATACCACCGTTTTAAAACATATAATGTCACTAAAATAGGCTGACTAAAAACATTATATATACCATTGTCCTTTAATTTTGAATTTAAAGCTCAGCCCCATCTTCCCCACCCCGTCATCCCGTAATGAGAAAATTGCGTTTTTAAAGCCACGAAATCGAACATAAGATACAATATTTCGTTTGTAAAAAGGATGCGAGACGTGTGTCCTTATTTTATATAGATTAACACTATGATCAATTAAGGTATAAACATCAGGTTCACTCGTGGTTGGTGCCTGGCATTTACTGCAGTAGGTATGTTTTAACCTCGCTCCAGATGTAACAGCGTAATTAGGAAACTTTATCAGATGTGTCAATGACAATGACAATTATTTTATTCTCATAAACAATACAGTGTAGAGAATACATATATACAAATGGGTGACAATAATACATGTTGATGAGTGTAGAACATAACCCCACAGGAGGACCATCCCCCAAATGTTGCATTCTACACTTTCACCGATGATGATCTAAACCCCACTAAGGACAACACAACTCGTTCCCTTAACATCAAGATCCGGATGCATCAGAACCGATAGCCGGCAATTGATAAAACGACTCGGTAAACATGTTTACAACCACGGGGTAAATTTAACCATTTCTAACAATCAATCGAGAGTGGCTACAAATGTATAACGTCGCTCTACTGCCA